ACACACACTCCCACACAGTGATGGACTGGGAATGAAAAATGGTTCTGGGCTTTTTGACTTTAATGTCCCACCCCATCCAGGCTGTGATAGGTCGGTTCGTGGCGATGCATCTTTCTCGCACTTGTTTTTGCATAGCGGGGTGCTCAAGAGGCCTGCAGGGTGGACCCCGTGGCCCAGGCACCCCATAGTCAGGCAGCCCTTCTGGCATTTGTCAAATTTCCAGACGGACAATCCATCACTTCTCGTACACATACATACACAAAGCAGTGTTTTGTTTCTAACAGTGTTTATAATGTATGAGAAGTATGACTTAAATGACTGGTTAATGGTAAAAATGTTTGGTCCACCACATTTTTTAAACCTGTAGGTTTAGCAAGTACTAACATAATTCACAAATGCCACCAAAGACAAGACTGCATACTAGTAAACATGGAACAAAAAAACTTTACACATTTGTTAGGCCTTCAATAAGTGGAGATTTTGATTTTGTTATCTTAAAACATCCTATCTTGCTCTGTTGTCCCTCAAATAAAGGCATAAAAAGTCCCCAAAAAGCCTTTAAAAAAAGAAGTAGCTACTTGATACACCTATAGATGTAGAATTGACTTATTATTGATAACAAGGTCCTGAAGTTCAATTACTATTCCCCATTGAAGAAAATGTGTGCATTTTACTCCTTTTCTGTAATTCTGTAAACGCCTTTTGTGCCTGCTGGACTTGTATGTGTATATAGAGACTATTAATTATGCAAGACGTCCACAATCATCCCTACATTGTGTGTCTATGGATCCTGAGTGAGCCAAACTCCATCTTTCAAAGTCAGTTTTATTTGTGTTAGCCTCTTAAATTGTTCTACATACAGTATGGTATCTAGCTGCCAGTAAACATGGATTAGACTATCAGAGACTGTAAGGATCACTACTACCTTACCTGTTCACCACACACGTGTATTAGGACTTGTGTGGATTCATTGAATAAGAAAATGTTCACTACCTGCCAGCCCAGCTCTCTGAAGCTGACGTAGAGCTCATGTCTTCTGCACGCCGTCTTCTGATCACTGCTGTTGTAATCTGCAACAGAAAAACAGACAGCCACCATAAAACACAGTCAGCAAAAAACCCTTCCCTGGGTAAATTACTTTTTTTTTTTAAATATCCCAATTAAACCTCATGAAAGTGACGCATTACATTCAGAATCTGAGAGCAGAAGAATAACACAATCCGCCGTGTGTAATGCACTGGGTGGAGACGCATGCGAGGGCGTAGACCGGAGCACAGGCACAAATGCTCCTGACAGCGGTCACTGCGCTGTACGTGCTTCACATTCATCTGCTGCCTAATACGTCTGAACGTTTGCCTAATTGAATTCATCAGCATTCAAATATTGCTTGGCGTAGGCGCAAGTGGTGACAGAGTGACAATTGTGTTTATGGACTCTCCGGCTCTGCAGTTTGGACTTAATTATCTCGGTTCCACTCTGCAGCAGTGGGGCGGGTTGGCTGCAGACGGCCCCAGGTATAGGTTTGGTTTTTTACAGTCGAGGAGGTCATTGCTGGCACCGGTCACCGCGCTGAAGTCAAGGCGGTGACACTGACTTTCCACTGACGTTTCAAGGGCTCTCTCTCGCTCACTTTCTCTGTCTTGCCTCATTGACTTTATTGTTGCTATTATGTTTTTTTTTTCTTCACAAGCCTTCCCAGTGAAAGACAATGAGAAAGAAAAAAGAAAGCTGTGGCACTAGTTAGTCCTGCATTTTCAGAAGAGCTTCATCCAGGATGACCCACGGTGTAACGGTGGTCCCTTAACGCCGACAAAAGCAAACTACACTTGGCTCCTTGTTGGCCCCACGATGGCTTTAAGCAGTACCCCAGCCACAAGCCCCTAAGTGATTTTAATTGTAGTTGGTCATTGGTTAATTATAAAACTGTTAACCAACTGTTTTGGCAGAGGACCTTTGTCTTTTTTTGTCCCACTTGTCATTAGGGCTACGATACTGGTTTTTGATTCCCTGTTTAGCCAAATAGAGTAAGTGCTTAAGATATTTAGTCTACTATTTACTTTACACATTGCAAAAAAAACAAAAACTATTTACAGCTTTGACACTATGTGCAACTGGCTCTCACAACCAAAACTCCCATTTGCTACTTTTTACAGATTTGCTCATTGCAACGTCAGCCGGTTTGGGGTAGCCACTTATTCTGTCAAGCCATTCAAACATGGTGATTTTTCTCTCTTCTGCAATAAATAGAGAGGGCCCCAGAAATGAGCAGCACATTACTGCAGTTGCAACATTTACAAGACACAATTGCTATGTGATACGTAGACAAGCACTTAATAAATGTGAAAAATGATTTGTGTGAGTGTGTGTGTGTCAGGGAAAAAGAGAGCGAGTGAGTCAGACTGCAGACGGGGATTTGTCACTCAGTCACAGCCACCACCCAGCCACTCACCTCACTAACTCGCCAACAGCAACCATGGTTAGTCAGCTGGAGTTGGAGACAGACACACACACACACAGTATATACAAACAATTATGTAAGGGTCATTGATGTCCTTACATCTCTGCGTCTATCATTCATTACCACTGGCACTTACAGTACGTAAACAAATACACACTCACACACAAATGACCTGATGTTTATCTGTTTAACAGCCAAATCCACTTAGCCACCCATTAAAAGGCAGAGTTGTCATTTAAATTCGCCCGTGCTAGTTGCATTAAGATTTCATCATCACATCAAATTTCATTTTGAACAGACGCACTGACCGCACTGCCCAGACCCGTGTGTTTTAGCTGGACTCCTCTCAAGTATAAGAAAAAAGAGACAGAAAAGGGGGGAGGGAGGGAGAGCCAGTTGGACTTGTCACTTGGATTCATCTCAGCTTGAAGTAAATGAGAAGAGAGGGAAAGAGAAAATAGACAGAGAGGACTCAGAGAGAGCGAGAAAAGAGAGGGGGGCTAAGTAGAGCATGGCGCTGACACTGCCTGAGTTTGGGCTGCAGTTTCTACCACCTGTGCTAATAATGTGCAGGTGCTCTATAATAATAAGGCACTTTGTGTAAGAGCATCTACCAGACAGCATCTAAAATAATACAAGAAATGTCTATAGTGGCTTATAGGGCTCTCATAAGGATTACTGTATAACTCACTATAATGTTTAAGGGCTACTTAAGATAATCATGTTATTTGATTTTAGAAAGGTTAATGGAGTTTGCTGTCTGTATAGTGCATAAAAATGTTCCCAAACACTGTTCTAATTTGGTTTTCAGATGTCATCAAACAAATCAGATGCAGATCAATTGCGGTCTAAATTTTCCCTAAACAAGAACAACAATAGAGACATGAATGTGTCTGAGTGGACGCATTAATTCAGCAAGAGACGGGAAATGGAAGGTGAGACTGGTCACGACAGGCGGTTGCGGGGTGAGGTCAAATGGCCATCCGTAACCATCAAATACAGTCAGGTGTTTCCCCAGTTTAGGGTTCCTTCCTTCCCAATAGGAAGGCCAGTTCACTGGGTGTCTGCTAATGTGGAAATACACTGTTTATATATATGTGTGTGTGTGTGTGTTTGCCGGTGTGTATATCTTTGTGGGTGCACATGTACACTGTGCATTCAGGCACGCATGCTTGTGCTGTGTAAATCTGTGTGTGTCTAAATGTGTGTGCGCAGAAGATACACATGGAGACCAGGTCACATGTGCTCGTCCTGCCTCCCTGTGGACTGACTGACCTGCCATAGTCTTTAACAGCAGAGAGCGTTCGGATCTAACAGATTTACTGTATGGAGGCATTCACAAATGAGAAAACAGGCTGGTCCTAGACCAGCTGCTGCAGGATTCTGCTGATTTTTCTATAATTATTTAAAATCCACTTGTTTTTTCTTGCATTGTAAGGCACATTTGCAGTGTGTACAGTGTTTATATACAGGAAACATCCAAGGACGGAAGAAAAGTGCCATTGAAAGAACTAAGCTGATTGGCTTAGTGACTTGGCTGACCTGATATGAACTTGAGGTGATGTTTATAGAACGAGGAACTGACACATTAGACTATTATAAGATGACAAGGCTTTCATACAATTCATGTATAAAGATTTATGAGTCAGTAATGAACAATATAATAACTATTTTTGTGCCAGTCACCATGTCTCTGTAAGTAACGCACTGTACCATGACATACACACAGGCCAAACTGCATGCGGCCATATTATATACACACACTCAGAGACCCCCTGCTCCTTCATCCAGGTCTAGTTTATGGTGCGTGACATTCAGCTTCGGGTCAAATCACAGCCCATGTAGGAGGGTGAATGAAGCCGGCTGCACACTAGGCGGACTTCTGCACCAGTAGCTGTTAATATAGTTCCTCACGAGGCGTCTACGGTTGCGGGCGAGGTGGCAAAATCCGATCATCTCATTTGATTCATCGTGCTGAGACAGAAAAACTGTATCTGTATCAAAATAAAATGTTGCAATACCTTCAAATTAGCACTGTATACTTACACGGTATGTGTATACTTACGGTAAATGAGAAGGCTTTAACACATTTTGGTTAACATACTGAGCAACATACTCTAGTTTCCCCTCTTTCTCACACACACACACGCATCTACACACAAGTCATTTTCCTTGCACCTCTTGGCCTTCAAAGCCATCAGCATTTACAGTCTGTGGGGCTCTTTAAGAGGAATAAAGCTGATATTTACTGTGGGCTTTCATTGAGTGTAAAGGCCCAGATTTGTGGTGCCCATAAACCACATCTCCCCTTCCTGCCTGTAAAAATTTAATGCCACACAGCTACCGCTGAGCTCCGGCTCCCATGAGGATTCTATTCATTTCTTTTTCCTCTCCTTGACATAGAGCAGAGGTGGGAAAGAGAACGTGAACTAGCTCTACATATTATCCTTTTTAGACAAATTTGTATATGACTATATACTACTGCTAATGAAAAGTATGTGCAGTAGGTTTTACTTTTACATTGTAGTAGGTTTGCACAAAAAATATATCATAAAATAATTTGATGATAGATTGTGGTATTAAGCTCATTCATTAAAGCTATAGTTAGACATTTGGGGAAATGTGCCTAATTAATACCACTCCCATGTCTGTATGCTAAATATGAAGCTACAGTTATCAGGTGGTCAGCATATCTTAGCATAAAGACAGGAAACTGGGAAACAATTAGACCTGCTCGGTCCAAAGGTAACAAAATCCACCTACAGACATGAGGGTAGTATCGATCTTATCTAACCCCCGACAAGAAAGCGTATAAGCCTGTTTCCTAAAATATCTTATGGTTTCTTTAAGCATCTGCAGCACCTACAGAAACCAAACCATAAATCCTAGTTTCACTTGCTTCTTGCACTTCTATCAGGACCAAATATTTGAATATCAAATGGAAGCAGGATTTCCTTTATTGACATGGTGATGTGAATGGAGCCAGTGGCACTGAGCTCTACTCACTTATTACGGCAGCTTACCTAACCTGGAAATGTTTCTCTGTGAGTAGACAAGGATCTATTTGACCATGTGACACTAAAACTCTCCAATAAAACCGATTCACATTGAATTCATGGAGGTGGGGCAGCGGCTGCCGGTTCCCCACCCTGTCTATTCAATAGCAGGGGAAACAGGGCTCCTTACTGAACGTAATACTGTGTGGTATGAGTCCTGGGCTGATATTAACCCTTCACTAGACTACCTGCCATTCATTAAGCCCCTGAAACACTTTAACCGGCACCTGTTGAAAGGAAAAGGCTATAAATTATATTTATGACGTGTTGTTCCAGAAATGAAATGGTGCCAATTCAGACGTTACAGCCAGGATGTTTGGTGTAGGAAGCGTGTGTGTTGGTCTATGTGTGTGTGACATTAAAAAGTCATTTCAACCCAAGCTGGCCACAATTTCTCACAGACGCTTTGCTGTAATTCTATAGTTTTCAGCAGCAATTTCTCAAATCAAGAGTGAGAAAAAATTGCAGCTTTTACAGTAGCAATTACAAGAACTCCCAGAGAGGTTTTAGTGAGAGAAAAACTTTGGTTATATAGGCCCAAAAATAAAATCTGGGTCCTTAAGACTTGGAAGAAGAATGTCACTGTTGTCCCTGACGTTTCTCCTCTCTTTTCCCTCCCACCAACCACTACTACTGAAGTTTATCTTTCTTCCTGTCTTTCATCACAGAGGTTATTAAACCCTGCGAGGGAGCTCCGCCACATCTAATTACTCCAACGGTAAACAAAAGGAGGTCGGGTGGGGAGGGAGCAAGGAGAATGAGGAGGAGGAGGAGGGAGGAGAGGAGAGACAGATGAAAAAACACCGGTGGCCAAGCGCCGTGTTATTATAATTCTTTGAGCGATACTGTTAGCGTGGTCAGTCGTTTAGCTGTGCAGCTAATGACTGGCTAGGCCTAATTACAGGCCGCCTGTGCAGCGCCGGGACCTGATATTCCTTCCCCGGATGGTTGTTAACTTCCCCCACAACCAAAGCCCAACCCGACTCCCATTACCTCCCTTGGCCTTCTTTGCCCACAAAACCCCAAATTACCTTTAAAGGTGTTGTATTGTTCTTTTGGCAAGGTACACAGCAGCATTTTCCACTGTGCACACCCAGAGGGGGCGGAAGCATTATACTGATGAAAATGTATCTGTCTCATAACTCCAAATTTAAGAAAAAGTGTAAACTAGAAAGACATATTTGCCCAGGAAATAAGAAAACAAGACATTAGTCTGCCTGGTCTGCAAATGGTCTGCTTTTGACAGTGTAATATGAAAAAAAGGGGATTTATTAGACATTTAATCGCACCATTATCTCAAAACTAATGTTGCAGAAATGTATTTGGCTGAATTTGTCCTCTTTTGTCATCTGGAACACATTTACTATCACATATCTTTTTAAATCCAGCTTGCTAAAATTGTGAAAATGAGAAAATAACAAGGCCCAAAGCCTCACAGGGGATACAGTAGGGAAAATAAAGTTTCATCGTTAAAAGATTGTTTTATATCCTTCGCAGCCAGAGAAGGCATTTGAGTATTTATGAAATCAAAATGAAAATGGACAAAAATGTCTCTTTAAGTGTCAGTTACACCTCAAATGAGGACAAAATGGTACCGAAAGATACGGTCAGATCAGTGCAGCGGTTAACCACACAGGTCAGGAGTGTGCAATTTGGGCAGAGCAGGGAAACTATTTTTAGAAAACACACAGAGCAAAGTAACTCATGCTGAGAGTGTTTTAAAAAGCCTCTATGTGGAAGCTAGTGCACACTAGAGCAATTAAAAACAAACACATTGCTGCCTTCCGGCCTTAGATCCCATGTTTTTTCGGAAAGAAAAAGCATCAGGGTGAATTATCGGTGAAATACTCCTTTTAGCCGGAGCTGTGGTGGCCTGAACTGATGTACTGTAGCTCTGTGCCAGACAGACACTGGGGGACAACGTCCACATTTTGTTTCTCCCCATGAGTGCTCTATAAGACGGATGCTCTCCCCATCCATCCTGTCCTCCTCCCTGTCTCTAGAGTGAGTGATGCGGTATTGAAACCATATGCCCTCCTGAATTCCTCACGGATCCTCCCATCCCGTCCAATCCCAGCAGTCCTCTGCTGGCCGCGGACACTCGGCTGTCGCGAGGGGGGCCTCCCTGCTTCCTGTGTAGGATCTAAATATTTACACTCCCTGTCGTCCCGAGTGGCGAGGCGGAGAGGTCTTGATGTTTTGGGTTATGTAAAGTCCAATCCTCCAGGACACATATTTAACAGATTGTCCTTGTTAGAACAGATTTTTGAGCAGATTCACCTCAGAGAAATATTTCTCATCCTCCTGATATAGAGTCCGACACAAAAGCAGACTACAGCCAACCCACCTTGTTCACTACTTGCTTGTAAAATTAAGCATTTAACTAGTTCTTTAATTATGAATTTAATAACATTTGACAGAAATATTCCTTCATGTACTGAAGGAGAGCAGAGGCGACATCTGTTACAGAAACACTAACACATTGTGAGCACATAGTGTTCACCTCAGCTCTTTGATTCTTAAGACTACTGGGGTACACTACCCCAGTATCAGAGCGTCTTCAAGACATCTTGACTTAAGCTCTGAAGACATCTTAGGACATCTCAAGCCAAAGACAGCTGGGTAGAAGAGAGCACAGGTCTGGAGCCAAAACTGAACATGTGGTACACTCCAACTCTCCTGTAGCATAACAAATGATGAGTCTTTGTTCTTTGTTATGTCAGCAAAAGCTTTCATCTAATGCAATTACAGAGAAAAGGCCCTGCAGGATTTTAACTTACAACCTCTTGTGTTAACAGCAGCGCACTGTAACCTACTGGGAAAGTGAAGGAGATGCTCTGAACAAACAGGAAATACAGCAAACAAATCTCAGCGAGGGCTTTTTCGAGTGGTAGTGAGAACAAACCCAACTTGTCCCACACATACTTCTGTATACCATGCAGACGGTAGAGCCATTAAACGGGGCAGCAAAAGAAGCATAGCAGAGGTAAATCACTTCCCAAGTAGTCAGCCAACTCGGGCCGTGTGCAGCTGTGTGTCAGCGCGATAAGCCCCGGCACCAGAGAGCCAAACGTGAGCCGACCCCGGCCCAGATTTAGCCAGGTTTTTGGGGTGCGGGCTGTAGCCGTTTTGGGCTGAAAATCAGCTCCAGTTAGCAGGCTAGCTTTGGGCCTAGCCCCTGGAATCGGCACAAGTATACTTAAGCTGATTCTCACAAGTAATTTATCAAAAGTCTGACACAAGTCCAGCAAGCAGGTGTGCCGAGCTTAGGCTGCTGCTGGGTCCAAACAGTTTTGGCTACCTGAAGCTCAGCAAATACACAGCCCTGAGATATTTAAAGAAAAACAGAAAAACTAAGTTCTACGGTGGCACCTGGTATGTGGTTCACCTGGGGTTCGATTCCAAACCTGAGGCCCTTTGCTGCATGTTGCCATTTTTATTTACTGCTGCACACAGGGCTCTCCTCTGATACACAGCAGAGTCAAAGCTTTGAGCTGTGGAAGCTTATTATTAACATGATGCTTCATCTGTCAAATTAGCCAAGGATCAGGCCGATATTAACAGCAGGCTCACTGAGCACTAACTTTATGTGCTGCATTAGTCACACAATGAAGACTCACAGGAGCAGCTTAGCTTTAAGCGCTATAAAGTCTTGCCAGAATTGCACAGCAGGTGAAAGGTGGGCGGATTAGGGTTTGATTTAATTTGAAAGCTTGCAAAGCTCATAACATCAGACTTGCTCACTTTACCTGCTCATTACATCATCTGCTGTGTAAGGAGAGAAGCGGGGAGGACTTGATGAGGAGGGTTCAGAGGATGAGGTCACCTGTCAAGACGCATTTGCCGTCCGGGTCCTAAATCACTGAATGTTCACTAGTCCACAATCTTGTGTGTCTCAGTTTGCGGTACTAAATCTCTAGTGATAATTATTACATCATTTGTAACTACACACATATTCTTTTTCTTTGAGTTTGAGCGCAATTTCTTAAACTCCTTTCTCTTCTATACTCTCCACCTAAAACCATCCATTCATCTCATACTCTAGCCTTTGCTCCTTTTAGCTCAAATCTCCAGCCAAACCCTCCATTCAACTCTTTGGCTCAACCTGTCTGGAGAGGTGCCACCGAAATCCCCTTCATAAATAAAACATCTTATATATATTGCTCTCAAATATACACTATATTCCCAGCTTAAGATGCAGGTTTCAGGATACACTTCACTGCTGTAAATGCATGCAGAGGAACTACAGTAAAAACAGATTTTGGACATCATCCCTAGGCTAGGATTTTCAAATGATGGGGGCTGATTAGAGAGAGATCCGGATGAAGTCAGGTCCAATTTATCAAGTGTCTCAAAGAGAAATACTTCAAACACATGCTACCCATTCGCTGATCTCAACAGGTTAGACATCAATTACGGATGTAGTGAGGTCAGTTTTGTGTCTGACTGTGTTCATGGTTGCATTGTTTGATGAGGTCAGTTAAGGTTCAGTGTTTGTGTAGCAGACATCAGACTGACCTGCTGGGCCTAGGCCTCTGGATCCCTCCTGTGGTTGTGTGGAACGGTTGCGGTTCTGCTGGCGACGTTTTCCGCCGGGGGAACGGGCCGTGCGGACGTGCACTTCACTGACTTTGAAGAACGCCACCATGAAAGGCTGCTTCTCCAGCGCGCCGTCACGTCCTACGAGCCCCGCCTCCTTGGAGCTGATGCTCTGCCCTGTTTCAGAAGACACAGTATTTAAAACAAGGCAAGATTTATCATAATGGTTGTGTTGTTTTGCACAAGTTTCTGATTCTGTTGTCATTTATGATTCTTTTGTAGACCACAGGAAGTGACTTACTTAAACTACTAACATAAAACTATGGATTTATGTTGTAAAATTGAGTGAAAGTAAAGTAAAAAATGTGATTTATTCTCTCACCGCTGCTGGTCTCCACGCTGACCTGCAGGCCAAGGTTGTGCACTGGGCTCATCACCCACAGGTTGCTGGTGGCAGTAATGTCAAACTCCAGCCAACCCTCCTCAGCCGCCCACAGCCTGCGAGATTCCAGCAGGAACAGGTCTGCCTCTCTGGGAGAACATGGGAGATGATACAAAAGAAAAAATTGCTTGGATCATAGATAATAATAGTGTTTCATGACACGACTGTGTGAAGGGTGGGTGAAGCTTGTTATCAGGCCTAGCACCTTAGCACTAACTAGAAAAAATGTGTTCACTACTTTTTATGGTTATCAAAGGTGGCCTTTGATGTTCAAAACAGCCAAGTTAGTCAGTATGCATGTTGGTTTTATGCTAACCAGCTTTTGAAGCCTTTTCAAGACATTTTGTAAGTAGATTTTACTAGTTTGTTGTAGAGTTGTAGACTGCATTTTTGGGTCACTGTCAAACTGTACTGTCTCAAAAGGGCTTAGTTAAACTACATAAACAATTTTATACAGTACTTAGAATTAAACTCTATATTTAAATATCTGGCAACCCAGAGGCAACAGAGGAACACAACTTAGATGGAAAGAGTGAAAGAAAAAGAGTTACTGCAAATGAAAATGCTAGTCAACACTGGCCACAAAAACCAAAAACGCAGGAAACATAAAAGCTGTATAGTGTGCTCGACTCTGATAATTATGTTCTTTAAAGTTGTATGTTATTTTCTCTCAATCAACCTACAGCATGAAATACAGACATACGATAGTGTCGTTATAGCTCAGAACACCAGAGGACTGATCTGCCTCTTTAAGAAAGCAAGGGAAACACAAGAGCTGTTGGTTTGTATCAGGGTAACAGTATCATAACAGAATGACAGAAAGATGGATTGCTGCACTTAACAGAAAAGGCTGGGAGACACTGTATTGTAATCCAATGTAGCTTTGACCATACAGTCTACCTCTCTGAGGGACAGGAAAAAAGGAAGGAATTAAATCTTTGGTATCAGGCTACAGGCATGTTAATATCATTTACAATATTTTGTATGAATGAAATCAGGCTGCAAAATGGAAGAATGTGTCAAACGGGGGAAGAAAAAGCCGGACATAACACGAATGTGGACTAATGAATGAAAAGAGAGCAGAGGAGCTGGAAGGAAAAGACAGAGTGTGAGTGATAAGAGGGCCTGTCCTCCCACTGTCCCATTACAGTAGTAATAACACAGCGTCGGGTCTGTCGGACCCTTCTCAAAAGCCGACATCAAAGCCTCACAATCATCCAGGTGTTCAGAGAATGTCCCTGCAGTCATGCATCAGCAGCCTTCTTTATTGGTCATTAATGAGAGTGTTTCTGACAGCTTCCGTATGAGCCTCTATTCCTTGTTTTCCCCTCACACACACACACACACACTCCACCCCACTGCTAAGTTCACACGTTTGTCACAGCATGGGCCAGTGTACCGATGTTTCCGCCTCATCGTCACAGCCGCTGCTCGGCCGACGAAGGACGGTAGGGGGTCCATCAGGGAGCCACCTGCAGGGCGAAAGGCTACTAAGAGCCTACTGTAAAACTTCTTATTGACTGACTGCCTAAATGAACTGGAATAATAAGGTCAAAGGTGAAAGTTGTGTTTTTTGCAACAATAAATCTCCTTTATAAGTCTTGTCAGTGAGTGTTGTTAAAAATGTAACGCAAGGTGGGAGAGTGTAGCTCACAGCTGGCCTGGTTATTTCACTTGCTTTCATCTTGTAAACTGCTGAAAAGGCATATTTGTTAAATTGTAAAAGCAATATGTAAGACATCTGGAGGGAAAGAGTGCAGAGGGTTTCAGTATATGAGGGAGATGATAATTCTGGATCTAAATACCTAAGCAACATTTTAACAATCAGAATAAAGACAATATTACTAAAATACACGTATAAGGAAAAGGAGGAATGAAATCATCTGGTTGGGTACAGTATAATAGCTGGTAAAATGTTGCTGAATGGGTTTTGGTCTGGAAAAACAGCCTTCGCAGCAGCATGCCCTTTTCTTAATACGATGTCAGTCCCGCCGCATTTTTGGCATTGTAATCTCTCACATTCCTTGCCTGCTGTTAGCGAAAACAACCCCAATCAAATGAAAAGAACAAAGGGTGTCAGGCTAATTAAGCACTCTATAATTAGGGCTTAGAGTCAAAACAGGAGTCTTTTACGGGACGGAGGGGCGCGAGAAAGTTAATAGGCTCCCAAATGATTGGGCAATTACAAAGGTACAGTTTAGCAAAAGGCGGAAAATGGGAAAAAACAAATATTTATAGTTTTCTGATATAAATCGTCAAACCTCAGACATTATATTCAGAACTGGGGGAGACTGAAGATAAGAATGTAAAATGAAAATGGTTACGACTTAAATGCTGTGCAGACGTTACTGATTTTGGATTCACACCTACAAAGCACAACAACAGCCCGAGCAAATGTTCTCCACCTGAGAGCACACCATCCAGGCTGTAATTTTCTTCAAGGTAAAAAACCTGTCCTACAATAACACAGAAATTGGACATATAGGGGCCCTTTAATCTCCAAATATCTCCCAAAATAAAAGGCTTTACCACCAGGCTGCAGAGCACAAACCACCCATTGTAGGGATAAAGGAATGCAGTAAAAAAGTAGCTCGATACTTTTAGAAACCTTTTGAAAGACAGAAAAATATACTTTGCCAACATCCATAGGTGACATTCACTTTTTCGATAGGCGGATCTCAGGGTGGATCAGCTTTATCCCTGGACTGTAGTCTGGGATAAGATTTGGTGTTAAGAGACCCCACATAAAGGTCTCTTGTTTCTTGATTATATTCAACACAAAATGATATATTTAAAAAAGTAACTTTGAGGTGTATTGATAAGATGTAAGCTTGGAAAGGTGTATCAGAAATTCTCTTCATGTTAGAGTTGGTTCTCACTGGGCGGGCTTGATAAAACACAAATATCATTCAGAAATCTTACTGGATGTTTATCTGCCCCTGCAGACGTAATGTAAATGTTTGGCATATATTAGCTGCGCTCATTTGGGGGACGGGAGGATTTTGAAGCTGTGCTATTTCTGAGGGACGTGGTTTTGCTTGATTTTACAATATAAACATGGCAGGGGCTCAGAGTCTGTGTAACACACAGGGAGAAGGCAACTTTTTATAATCATAAACTTTACTTTTGTTGATGCCCAGTACAACCACAGTGCTCTGCAAAATTACCAGATCAACCCGAGGGTGGATCATTGCACACCCACGTTGCATGACCAAGCCCTGTTCACATCCACAGAACTTTACTTAGGATATGACATATTATGGTAAAGCTTCGTAAGATACCAAATATGTCGAACTGTACTGTTGAATTACAGGGAAATGAGTGTAAAATACATCAACATCACCTATTCTAGATTATTTACCTGCAGACATGAAAAACTTACTTCTAAGGGACAGTGAAAGACCCCTCTAATAGGCCCATCTATGGGACATACTAAACTAAAATATGAATATTTGGGTTTATTTTTGCTATTGTTATTATCTGTCTTTGTTTTTCTTTATTTCCCCCCCATTTTCTTTATTTGCTATAATTATCATTATTTAATCTTATTAAATTATTTCTCTGTATTTTAATAATAATAATAATAA